GCCCAGCCCGGGGAGCTGGGCTGGAGACCCAAGTGTGCAAATGAGCAGCGAGCAGCTTGGGCAGGCTGTAGGGTCTAGAAGTACGAGCTAGGTACACTCTGCTCCCCGCAGCACCCCTGCCTGCCGGGGGTCTTGACCCAGGAGCCAATTCTGTCCAAATGGGGTCTGAATGTTTGCAGTTTGGCTGCTGGCAGGTTCCCTCTGCACGAAGTGCTGGTGCGTCTGCCGCTGTGTCATTTTCTCCTGTCCTCTGCGGGGACGGGCTGTCCGTGCGCGGCTCGTGTCCGGGTGGGGATAGACCACCTTTCCTCATCCCAGCCTGCCTTGTTCCTGTAGCTAATAGGTTAGTTCTCAATCATCCACACCCGCTCAGCTGTTGTGTCCATTCAGCCAATCAATCTTGGGCAGTGATGCCAACGCGCCGTGCCAGGTGCCAGAAATGCGGGGACCTAAGTAGCTTCCTGTCTTAGCTGGTACCGTCCTGTTCGCACCTGGACTGAGATCCCGCCTGGTCCCGACTGGCTTTCCCGGAGAGCTCCGTTCTTGTGGGTCAGGAGTCTGAGCGCCCCGCAGCTGGGGCCTCTCCGGGCCCGGGGGGTGGGGGGTGGAAGTCAGTCGTCACAACCTGTCACAGGACATCCCGCCACGGTTGCTATGTTCCGTTGGGTCCGGCGCACACTCAGGAGGGGACCACCCAAGGGCACGTAGAACCGGCGTAGAACCGGGGAGTGGGGATCGCCGGGGGCCACCTTCAGAAGTTGCCCACCATCAGTGCATCAAGCAGGCCGGAAAGGAGACCAGCAGCCCGTCTGGCTTGCCCGTCCGCGCGGCATGCTCCTGGTTCCCTCGCCACAGGCAGCCATGGTTCTGGTCTTCGTGCCTGGCCATCTCCTGCACCCATGTGTCTCCCCGAAAACATACCGAGCTTAGTTTTCAAAAAGAGAGAAGCAAGCTCAGACCTGTGCAAAGTAAGGGTAAATCGGCACTCAGTGAGGGAAGCCCCCAGGAGAAGGCCCGTCGGGCAGGGTCTGGATTACATTGTGGCCTCAGCGTCCCCACGCCCGGGGGAGTTGGCCAGCCGTGCTCCCTGGAAGGCAGGGCTCACCCGATGCCTTCCGCACCTCTGAAAAAGGGGCAGAATCCATAGAATCTGCGGTATCTGGTCCATATTCAGGTTTTCCCCATTGGCCTTGGAACGGGTTTGTCGCGGCGTGATTCCCCTACAATTGGAATGCCTTCCATAACGCCCTTCTCTGTCCAGCCGGGACCCAGCCCAGGCCTCACATCTGGTTCTTCTGTGTCTCTGGTCTCCTTAAATCCACAACGGTCCTTCCACCTTTTTTGCATACTGTAATTTCTATTAACTTAAGAACTTTATTGAGATTATAATTATACACCATAAAATTCACCCTTTTTTTTTTTTTAAGATTTTATTTATTTATTCATGAGAGACAGAGGCAGAGGGAGAAGCAGGCTCCCCACGGAGC